CATAAAATCCCACATGGGGGAGTGGTGGCCTAGTGGTTAGGGCACTTGCTTAGAATCCAGAAGTTCTAAGCCCAAGCCCCACTCCCACGGTCTGCCACTCTGGGTCTCTGAGCAAAACCCTTAACCCCACACGGCTCCGTGGGCACAATGGCAGCCCACTGCTCCCCAAGAGGATGGGTTACATGCCGAGAGGGAATTTCTCCAGTGTGAGATTAATAAAGAGATGTTCAGTGTTAGTTTTCATCCTTTTGTTTTTGCAATATTTGGATTAATTCAGCAATATGTTTTTTACGCCACCAAAATAACTCAGTGTTTTGCCATTATCTCTTATCCGTTGACTGGTAACAATTAGCTTTTGTTCTGCTGAATTCCTGAGACTGATTGAAACATGAGTGGGGGCTTTGGGTGGTCTTGTCCAGAGGAAGGTTAGCTGGATAATGACATAATAGCCAGGTCACGCTAAGGCCCAGACATGAGTAAATGAGCAGGAGACGGCATCCTAAGATGACCTTGCCTGTTAAATCAAATTTATAAGACGAACACGTTGCCACCATGGATCTCCTAATGTAGAGCAACCTTTGGTTGGCGTGAAGTCCACATTCACATACACAATACTGTACACACATACACAATCCTATTAGCTTGCTCTCACTTAGAATTAATTGGGTTTCTTCACACCTAAAATTAATTCGGTCTTATATAATGTTCCATTTCGCAGCAGTGGCGGTTGAATGAATAAAGGTGATGAATGGCTGGCATGGAGACGTGTCCTCCTGTCCTTTCTCTAAGTAGAAATTGACAAGCTGTCGTGTTTGTTGGCTCCTCAGATGCTCCCTTCCTTTAGCTCTGAATGTTTGTGTGTCCTTTGGCTTATTACTCGGGACACTGTTTGACATCTTCATCCTGCTGTCTTTCAGCAAACATTGACGATGAGTGGTTTTAGTTCGCTGTCTTCAGTTAAAATCTGCTTGTTTTCTATGTTTAGAGATCCCTTTTAGCTTTGTTTTATTGCTTTCGGAGGTCTGTCTGAGCCAGAGATTTGTAACGTCTCAGTGTTTCTGACAGTTTTATGTCTTTAGGTACTTTGTTGTACCTATTTTATTTTATTTTTTTTAAGAACCAAGGGATCAACTAAGCCCACCTGTTCCCCAGTTGAGCTTCAACCAGAGCTATTTTTTATTAGCTTGCACCTTCATACTGTGGATAACAAAACTTTTGGCTTCTAAAATAACCACAAGAGCTATAAACCTCTTGTGATTATTACATCATACCATCTATAGAGCTTATACTGTTAGAGGCTGAGGATGAACACATGGTTATCAACATCATATCATTGAAAGCTCCACATAAACAGATATGTAAAGGCCGTACCATTCTAAATAAGAGACCTATGATTCCCACTTTCAATATCCACTATCCCCTAAGAGGAAATAAGCAAAACACTGATTTGTACTTTGCTTGCTTATTTTCAATCTGACCTTTTAAAGGTCCCATATTATGCTCCATTTGAAAATAAAAATATTAACGATAAAGCCCTCAGAGCATGTTTTTGCTGGAAAATTCCTCTCAGATTAGGCAGACGGCGTTTACCAAAAATCTCCTTATTCAGCCCTTCTCTGGATGAGCTGTTATGGCTCTCCATGCCCCCAGCCTTCTGACCTAGCAGCACCTGACCTAGATGAAGGCTGGAGGTTGACCAATGGGCTGCTACAGACTGCTCTGGACTGCTTATTTCCCCTTATGGCATCATAAAAGGAATGCTTTTCAAAAAGAGCATTTTGATCACACATTAGCAAAGAGATGGAGAAAGGCAGTGATAGAGATGAAAGTTTTTTTTTAATAATTTTTTTTGTTTATCATATATTATGAATATTACATAATATTTGCTTTTTTCCATTAAAAAAATAATTTAAGGTTCTCATAATCTGATTTTGTAAGTACTACCAGGTCCTATTGTGGGCCGACTTGTTGTTTTAATGGAAATTTGTGATCATGAAAAGAACATTAACACTTTTCCCTTTTGTCTCATCACTTTTATCCAAATCACATTTAGCTGACCTACTTCCTTCAAAAAATTTGAAGCTCCTCAAATTGTCCAACTTGCATAGATGATAGGGATGTCCCGATCATTTATTGGTATCGAGAAATCATTATTGATTATCCTACAAAACAAATATAAAAATTTGCACCCCATCTTATGTATCAGGATGCTGATAGAAACTCTACAGTTCTATCTTTGTTTAAAAGACTAGTTAGCCCTAAATTAAAATTTATTTATGCAGATAAACTAGATAAATATTTTACTTATAGTGCATGTCCCAGGTATTATGATGATAATTTACTGCAAATTTGTTAAAAGCTTGCTTCTGGGCCCACAGTGTTTCACTTAGGGACAGAAAATACATTAAATCAGTTTCTTATAATAAATAATCAAATGAAATCATATATTTTCATTATGAAAATAGTAAATGTATTACAATTTTAGTCAGCTTTATCTGTCTAGTCAATTATAATGATTTGATATTCATGTTTGTCAATCAATCATAGTCTAATGGAAAAAATATATATTTTGAAAGATAGAAAATATCCATCAAAACTGGACAGAAATTAGTGTCTCTTCATTCTAGTCCTAAAAAATGCTTTAGTTTTATATTAATATAAAAGTTATTGATTTTTGTTTATCAGGTTCACATTCTGTGTGCTCCTTGGCTATAAGCATATTCAGAGATTTAGAATATTATTAAAATGCTCATTTATTGCTGTGTGTAAAGACTCTTTTATTTCTGTTGTAGAATTTAAGATGAAAATATTCATGATTAAGATCTAACATGGGGTTGATTTGCACCAGAATTAAAATGGAAATATCTTTTATTGTCATTATACAGTTACAAATACTTTAAATGGCTTTACTCCCATAAAGAGGAGCTTGAATACAGATGTTACACACCTTGCGCAGAAGCTCCTGATTGATGTTTAGTTTAGTTGTATCCTCACACTCTGATCAAAGCGCTTCTTTGTTCATCTTTTCTGATTAGAAACTCAGAAAATGAAAAAGATTTGTTATTATTTGTCCCAGAAGAAGAACAAATGTACGGTACAGCAGCTACTTCTGTCTATTTGTGATGTTGTTGCCATGGCAACTAAAATAATTTTCTTCATGAAGCTGTGCGGTATCACCTGTAGATGGCATCACACTTTGACAGAGCAGGGAGTCTGAACATGTCCAAACATTTAGACCAGTGCATTTAAAGTTTTGTTTAGAGGATTGTGAAAGTCATCATACCACTAAAGCTTTTTTTTTTCTCCACATTTACATAAAAGTTCATCTTTTTTTTGTCTTAAAGGCCAGTACAAGGCAGAAGATCACAAAACCAAGTGTTAAATGTTTCATCTTTTCCCCCTTCATTTCAAATGTAGATCTGAAAAGTGTGGCTTGCATTTGCATTTATAGAGTCAAACTGTTTTATCTGGGTCTAACTGCAGCAGTTTTGGTTCTGGACTCACACGTTTATTACCACCATGAAGCCCTTTCAATTCAGCAGACAAGTTCTAGTTCAGTTTAATGCAGGTTTAGGTTCTAAAATCCATCCTTAAGTTTTATGACGTCCATCATTTGAACAAAGAGAAAGTATTGACCATCTGCAGACCTACCAAGACGTTGACATCCATCATGACTGACAGGCTGGACAAGGAGAGCTTTAGTCAGAGAAGCAGCCAATAGGACCATGCTGACTCTTGAAGGAACTGTAGACATCCAAAGCTGTTAGTGATAAGGTGCCACAAAGAAAAGTAACAATGAAGGTAGTCATTTTACACTTCACATTGTAAAGAACCCCCCCCAAAAAAAAGAAGTGGAAGAAGATGCATTGCTAAGACAAGACTGCAATATTTTGGCCTACATGCAAAACATGTGAAGTCGTACCCTTAACTGCACATCACCCTAAACACATAAACCCAATGGTTGCACATGAATGTGTTAGCATTAAGCTCTTTTTAGCAGGGGCAGGGTTAAATAGAAGATGGATGGAGATATTTCCAGTTCAAAGACCCTGCTGAGGCGGAGGTCCACCTTCCAGCAGGACAACACCAGCTAAAGATACAATGGATGGCTTAGATCAGAGCTGATTCAAGGATTAGAATCGGGGCTGAAGCTGTTGTTGAGAGAATAATTAGAAAAAATGATTTGTCTTTAAATATGCAAAACTTCTATTTAAGAAAGACTTAATTCAATGCAAATAAAGAAAAAGATACATTACTTTTTGCTAAGATGTCATGCAAAAATCATGCCTAAATAAGTTAAAAGCCCCCCCTGTCAGAACCAGGCAGTCAGTGCCGAAACGCTTCTTTTCAGAAAATGATGGGAAAAGATCTGTACCAAACATCCTTAAATTTCCTTTTATGGCACCTTATATTTCACATTCATAAAAGAACATGCAGACCCACTTACTGGAGGTATGATTGTTGCCGTTGGTAACAGCAGCACTGATCCAGGTCACCTGTCAGTCGCCCAAAGCGGCTGTTACAGCTGGTATTCTCCATGCAGCACAGTATGTGTCACAGCTATCAGTCCCCAGACAGAGACCCGTCCTCCCTGTCCAAGCCAGTTAACCAGACAGAGGAGGAAGAAACACACATGCAGAAGATGAATCGCTCTGCTGTAATTTGCCTGAAGCACACACACACAGATGTGAGTAACGGCACGTCGAGGTTAGTTAGAGCTAATGAAAATAGAATACCCGACTGGAAAAATTCTGGCTTCATGAGAAATGCACTAGTTTCACACCTTCACTCGTTTCAAGCCGTCTCTGTTTGCAAGGTTCCCAGAATCTGTCCAGTGCTGTCAGCTTCCATTATGCTTCATCTGGACTATCTTTCTTTTTCTTTAGTCTGTTTATCCGAATGTTTCAGAAATGAAGTAATACACTTTTTGCTGCCTTACATCACCATTCACAGTGAAATTAAATGCCTTTTTTCTCTCTCCTTGTTTGTGTGTGCTGTAGGTGGCAGAGATGCATGGCGAGTTAATAGAGTTTAATGAGCGCCTGTACCGCTCCCTCATGGCCAAAGACCACCTTATTGTCCAGATGAGACAGGAACTCATTGACCTCAGAGGACCGGTGAGTGGCTGCTCGCACAGACGCCTCATCTGATGCGGCTGCAGGTTTCTCCTGCCTTCCTTCTTGCTCTTCTGTCACTCTGCTCACAGTTGTTTGGTTTAATTTGCATCACTGCCTGCTATGTGGTTGACAGTTTCAGATTCTTCAGGTGAAAGTCATCATAAAGTAGGACGGCTCCCTTCGAAAGCAATTGCAGTCACAGGATTTAAATTTACGGGTATATTTTATCCTGTCAAAAGATGATTTTCATTGTAGAAGAAATTATATGAAGGCAAGTTATTGTGTTTTTGCGGAGTGTTTATTTTCATATATTCATTTAAAGCTACACTCTGTAGCTAGCTACACCAGGTTCAGGCACCTGTGAAGTGCACTGGCAAAACGATCACAGAATGATAGAAACTCAGAATACATCAATAAAATAAGACATGTGATGGAGTGTGACAGAAAGCCCACACCTCTAAAAAAAAAAAAAAAAAATGTTGCGAAGAAGTCCTCCTAATTTTTAATATTTGGAGGCATTTTGTTGTCCAAATGTAAATAGTATTCTAAATCCAAAGCACAAGGGAGGTTCACCTGGTGTCAGGCCCAGCACTTACATATCCAAATGCATGCATTTCAGAAAGTTTAATTCATACAAACGCTCATAAACTACTCTTTATGCCCATGTTTAATGTGTTTATATGCAGAAATAGAGTACAACTGGGCCCCTATATATCACACGAGTGCTTGTTCCTTCTAAACTCAAATACCAAATGGCCCCATATATCTCACACGAGTGCTTGTTCCTTCTAAACTCAAATACCAAATGGCCCCATATATCTCACACGAGTGCTTGTTCCTTCTCTGCATGCGTGTGGTTTGATTTCTACGCAAACGCAGCCTCCCTCCTCCTCCTCCTGTATTGGCCTATTTCTGATCGCTCCTCAGTGTTGCGACTAACTACTGTAAATTATTAGCTATAGGCTATATTGATTCTACTTATATGATTTATGATTTCTAATGCTAGGATTTTTTTTAAAACTTTGTTTCCACTTCATATCTATTTTATAGCCAATTGAAGGCTGCCGAAGTTCTAAAACATCTTATTTCTCTTTTATCATAAACAAGAAGCATGATCATATTTACATAATTATATTGCTGTCAAACCACACAAACCAAATTATTGCAGGTTAGTTTTCAATTTTTTAATGTTTATTAATTGATTATTTGATTCCCTAATTAATAACAAACACCTTATATTCCATTATTGAACCTTTAGTCTAATTTATAATTCCAACAAATTTTTCTGAATTCCTGGACCTTTATAAACAAAAAAAGGAACTGCATAGTTACTTTGGCTAGTGACTTTCACTGAGCCGTAACTGAGTTACTAACGCTGTTACCTTTATGGAGAAGTAACTATTATCTATAACTAGTTACTTTTTAAAAGTAATTTACCAACACTGTCATTCTTGTCAACTTATGTCATTTTGAAGGGGTTTCCCACCGGAAAAAGCAACCCGCCTGCTATTGGCTATTTTTAGGAAATCCTGCCTCTTAAGTTGTGACGCATTGCAACGATAACCAGCGTTATAAAACAGTTTACTGGCTGTTTCTCTATTCATAAAAACGTGAGTACGGACTTGTGTCCTTGACAAGTGTGTTCTTGACAGGAACACTAGGAAAGAATGGACTTGGGGAAAACGGGAGCACGCAGCGTAAATATGGTTAAATTGGAACAGAAGCGTTCTCGTGATGTCACCACATGCTCGGCTTGTCTGGAGCTGCATTTCACCTCCTGTTATTAATATTCTCTAGATAATAATAAATTCTTACTTTTTCATTTAGTGGAGGAATAATAATTAACATAGATAAACATAAATCAAATGAACAATGTGCTACACAAAACAAAAAACTCCCCATCAGAGCCAGCGGTGCTTCACATACTGCTATGCCAAAGAGAGGGCTGCTGCAGACGGGCTAAGGTTAGCCTTGGGGGTCCGGTGGTTGCCACGGTCCTCTCAACATCAGAACTTTTTTTTATATTACGCACTAAATTAGTAAATGGGCCATATAATGAAAGTATAATGTTCTCGCCTCAAACGTTCTAAAAACGTACTTTTATTGAACTACAGCAACAGAAAAGAGAACTTTTACCTTTATACTCTGAGCTCAATGAGCGCTCCACTGAAAGCTGCTGCTGCTGCAGTGCATGCTGGGACAGCTGTCAATCTTGAGAACGGACAAGTCTGCTCTGATGCGTACTTGGGGGGTTGAGAACAACATCAGGGGACTTTGTCTGTTCTCGGTTTTGTGTTCTTGTGAATTGGAACAGTACTAGGGCTGACGCTAATGATGTTTCACAAGCACACGAGAACGCACAAGTACACATATTGAGAAACAGCCAGTGTGTCCCTGTTTCTAACTAGCGTTTGAGCTAGCCAAAACTATTGGTCTATTTGAACTGAACCTTTTTTGTAGATAACCTATAACCTTTTATAACCCTACAGTCAATAAGAATCCAGTGTTCATCCAGACAAAGTTATATTAATGGAGACTCTGATTACAAACTTCTAACTCTTGAAGAGAAGTTGTTTTGCTAATAGTAAGAAGATTACAGCTTCTAGAGGTGGGATTTCCTAAAAAGTAGCCAATTGCAGACAAGCTATTTGGTCCAGTGTTAAACGCCTTAAAAAGTGACAAAAGTTGACATCAGCAAGCAGAAACAGGTCCACACATAAATGTAAAAGAATCTGTAGGCGCATAAAAAGCAAACCACAAGTGCAGAAAAGGTTGTGATATATTTGGGGCCTCATAGTTTTAAATTTGCACTCATAAAACATTCAAAATGTGCATGGAGGGTAGTTTACATGCATGATTTTTTTTTTTTTTTTTTTTTTATAAAACTGCTTATTTGAGTATTTGTTAAATGTGTGGACTTTTGGCAGAATTCTGGCCTCTGTTGATATGAACGTTTATGACACACGAATCGGAAAGAGACTGATTAAGTTAAGCAGCCAAATCAAAACAACTCTGATCTCCTCACAGCTTACATTAATGTATTTACAGTACTGCTTCTGAAAAAAACACTGCAGTTGGTCAGTCACAAAGTGGTCTGGTTTTGTCCAACAAACACTGTCTTTTTGGGACAGATAAAGACCAGTGTCATCCCAGAAGCTCTAAAGGGTACAGATGTAGACAGGAAAGCTGTATGCATGTAAACTGGTTAGAGTTTGCATGAAATACATACATTAGCTTAAAGTCATGGAGCTGCAAACTGAAGATAAAACATGCTAACTGGTGGGGTCTTTACCTTGTATGAAAGCGTGTTAGGGCCAGGTTGTGTGGAGGTTTTTAGAGGACCCAAATGCAGAGACGGAAGCTGAGGTGGATTCTTGAAGATTTAATATAGTTGCAAAGGGCAACAGAAACAAAAGTCGACAAACAAAATACTGAAATCCAAGGAAAACACACATTTAGGGGAAAGAAATGACGAGGAACCAGTAAAGAGCAACTGAATAGAAGGAGTATGGGAGACGGAAACAACGGTAGGCAGACAAGGAACAGGTGTGGATAGATGAATCTAGAAGTGAGCTATGCGGAGAGTGACACAAGAGGGCAACAGATGGCAATCAAGAAATGCATAAGAACTCAATACAATAAAAAGAAAACTTAAACAGAACCCAAACCATGACAGTTAGCTTAGTTTGACATTAATATGAAAGGCTAGAGATGGTGGTTCAGAATCTTATATTGGTGTTTAAAGAACATAACTTTTTCTCAGTCTTCTCAATGTTATTTACTGCAGTAAAAACAGAAAGGAGACCATCCTCTGCTTGAGAAACAGGCTGGATATGCCTCCTGAAAGCCAAGCATCCACTCTGACCACAGTGTGAGTCGTGGCAGCTGCAGTGAAGAGCCGCAGGCTGGAGATAAGGCCTCTTATCCTTTCGCTTCAGCCCTGCTCTGCTGGACCTCTCACTCTTATTTTGGTGTCCATCTCTGGCTCCTGTTAGCTCTGGGCTTTTAACTTCTAAGAAAATGGAGGCAGTTGATCAGGCTTTGTCTGCTCTCTTCCCAGATTTCTCTGTTTCCACATCTATCCATCCTGTAGCTTCAGGTGTTTGTGTGCAAGTCTTAGAGGGAAGTCTGGTGGCAGGCGACCAGGCTGTAGGGGGGTTGGTCATAGTGTGTTAGCATAGCTGCAGACAGCCTGTTTGGGACAGCTCAGAAGCTGACAGGGAGACAGAGAATTAAAATAAAGTTTATTTATAAAGCAACATTATTATAGAGGGCAATCTGAAATACTTGACAGGAGATCGAAAACAGAGCAGAAAAGAAAATACAAGTGGTTTATTTCTCTACTTTGATTTACAGGCCAATGCTTCAAGCATACTTTATTAGATTGTTTCATCAAAGCCTGATATTGTCAGGGTTTTTTGCGTTGTCTTATAAATTCACTAAATTATGGTTTTATAGGTAATAATTGTCTTACATCCATGTAACACTACCCTTAATGTTCAATAAAGTGGAAATAGGCTTTATTGAACATATTTGCAATGCAAAACACACAGCTAGCAAATTAGATAATGGCGTTACTGGCGAGTTCTTATCACGTCCATGTGCAGAAACACACGTAGTACTGCTGATGTCGTAGAAAAATGCAAGCTTAACAAACTTGGCATTAAAGCTACTGGATTAAGGCTTGGGTGATGTTTGCTTCGTAAAGTATATTTGTTAGAACAGGTACAATACCAACTGGTTACTAAAGATTCACTTGACCACCTTCAGCAGATGGAAAATAACTTATATAGTAGTTAATAGTTTCTTTTCAAAGGAGATGTCTGATGTTAATAGTAACTGTGTTTCTCTTTAGCTTATTTTGTCATTCATTAAAACTTACAAAAGTTACAGGTGCCGCAGATTTTACTACACTAGAGTAGCAATACTTTTTAATAATATTCAAGTAAGAATTAAAAGTACAGTGCATTAAAACTATTCCTCGAAGTCCATTTTGTTTAAACCTAGAGGGGCAATATTGATGTTTGAAAAGAGTAAAAACTTGGTAGACTCATTGTGTGTTTCTCTGGTATTTTTGTGTTGCATATAAATCATGTAATGATGGTTAAAATATTTATGGTTTGATGTTATTTTTAGTCAAAATTAAAACTAGCACCTCCTAATGCATTGAAATGTTAATGGAGGATTTTCGCAAATTTTTGTAATGACCCGCCCTCTCCACTTTAAAAAAAAAATGCACAAGCACAACTTTACTGTATACCTCCTACCGAGAGGGAACGCCTATTAAACACGTGCAAGAGCATGCAATAGCCCATTTCTCCTCGTGCACGCTCTGTTTAAAAGCACTCTTACAAGCTTACTTTCCAAAAGAAGATTTGCAATTTTTCAAGCACGTAGGACGGCCTTACGCAAATCACCAGAATTATTTACAATTAGGAGGACCACTTATTTTGATGATCCACCCGGAAAAAGAACATCCTCTACTATACCTTTAAGATGGATGAGGTATGCCTCTTGTATCTCTTATTTAACCAATGAACACTACGGGGATTGCTGGTCTTAACAGAACATTTGTTGCACACACCCTGATCTGACAGTGTTGTTAAGTAGGAAAGTAGCCTGGTTTGAATCAGGAATGTGTGATTTTTGTTTCTGATGGTCAGTCTCCTTCATTTTTTCAGGTTCCAGGAGATTTAAGCCAGACTTCAGATGATCCAAGTTTGTCCGACTTTGAGACGTAAGGATTGTTTTACTTTTTACTCTTTTTTTATTTTGTCTTTCTCTTATCGTTTCTCAACACTTCAATGTCAGTTAAGTTATATATATATATTTTTTCTTCAAGATACTGTTCTGGACTGTTAAAATGATGTTCTGTAAAAAGGTTCTCAGGAGCTAACATAATATCTGCTGTGTTGGTGTCATCATTGAGTTCAAGTCCAGCTTAGTTGGTTTCTGGATCCTGAAGCTGAATATTCAGTACTGAAGCAGACTTCTAACTTTTCTTAAACTCCAGTGTCCGTTTAAGTGAAACCTGTGAAAAACCTTTAAACTTTTGTCAGTTTAACTAAAAAAACTGATGATTATCTAGAACAGAAATGGAAGAAGAAGGCAGGGCACCACTATGGAAAAAAACATGCCGAGAAGAGAACCTATAAAGGATTTGACCAAAAAAGTAAAATGACAGGAAAACCAAACAAATATCAATTTATTTGAGTATTTTTTTACTGAGTTATACATGTTGTGAGTTATATATGTTTCACTCAGGAAGATGATTAGGGGCGCACGTCGTCCTTCATGCTACTGTGTTAATAAAGGAAAGCAATTTTAAATGTGATAAAATAATATTCAGTAAAGCTGTGATGTTCTGTGGACTGGAGTGATTTTCAGGTCCAAATAGAACACTTTTACAGATTTATTTACTGCAGCTAACATATTTACTGCTTAGCAGAACCTCCCTTTAAACATCCTAAATTAAGGCTTAAAGTTGCCGTCTAGATTTCTAGATTAAAAACTCCCATCTATAAACTGTAGAGAAGTTGTCCCGCTGTCGGCCAGTGTGTTGATGCTGCTAGTGATGGTAATGAAGGCCATAATGACAGCGATGCCTCTGTTGGTGTCACTCAGGGCTCATCGTGCTCTCATCAACGTGTGGATCCCCTCTGTCTTCCTCCAGGGCAGAGCCGCCAATGCCTACCACGTCTATCAGGTACGTTCAGCCCCGTCTTCTCAATGAAATAAAAACCTACAGGAAGCTCCCACTGATGCTCAATAAATGGGAGTTTATTGACTGACCAGAGGACAAAACCATTATGTGTTTATAAGGAGCTAATGTTCTTTAGGAATCATAGAGAGCAGTACAGTACAAGAGCTTCATTAACATGAACACTGAGGGACCGACTGAGAGGGCTTGGAAAGACTTATACATATGCATTAAAAGCTCATCATCAGTGTTCATTAGCAGGGTTGTTTTCAGAGCTTTATAATCCTCACTCTGCTCAGTGGTCAAACAAAACCCTTTTAATTTACCTCCAGTTATCTGCTGGTTTTACAAAGTTCGTTAGTTTTCATTAAACTCTGCAACATCCATAAACATTAATCTGTTTTTTTTTTTATTTGTTGTGATTGATGTTGTGAGGTACTGTCTGGTTAAACTGCAAAAACGATCAAAAAATGAGAGTAAACCTTTCTTAGAATAAGTGTCTTTATGCTTAATTTGACAATGTAAGATGATCTGATAATGGAATGAGTATTTATAGGATAATTAGATATGTTGCACTTGAAATAAGAGGCTGCAGTTGTTTTTTTCTTATTTGAAATGCAAGTGGACCTATTCCACGGACAGTTTTTCTGGCAGGTACCAGAGGTGGTTCTGATTGGGAATTAAGCTGAGATTGTGGACTTGTCCTACACTTAAGATACACCAACCTCCATGTTTACCGGCAGCCCCATAATCCATCCATCCATCCATCCATCCATCCATCCATCCATCCATCCATCCATCCATCCATCCATCCATCCATCCATCCATCCATCCATTCTTTGTCCTTCTTATCCCAGCTGGGGACGCATAGGGGGCTGGTGCGTATCTCCAGCTTTCAATGGGCGAGAGGCGGGGTATACCCTGGACAGGTCACCAGTCTATCTCAGGGCAACACAGAGACAAACAGGACAAACAACCATTCACTCACACAGTCACACCTAAGGATAATTTAGAGAAGCCAATTAACCTAACAGTCATGTTTTTGGCCTGTAATCTCAGAGTGAACAATTTAGAAACTTCAAAGATTTTAAGAAACATCCAGATTCAGGACATTTGTTTGAAGGAGATAAAAATCTATTTTGAACAATACTTATTTTAAACAATGTTCCATCAATATTACTCCTTCTGCTGCTTTTGTTTTTTTGTTTTCCTGCCAAATTAACTTGACTTCCGGACATCTCCTAACATCTCTGCAGGAGTCTGCTGCAAATCCTGTGGAGCTAAACTGAAAGCAACACTAATGGTGCTGAGCTCTTGTTTCCTTAACTGCAAAGTGAAAGAAGTTGATCACGGCTACATTTTATCTGACGCTGCATCTTTTCTGGTGTTAAGATCAAGAATAGAGCTACACCTTGTTGAGTGAGACAGAGCAGAAGAGAACAACCTTACAGAGATGATGAATATGATTCACAGAGCTAAGTGGAGCTTCTGAAGAAGTTCTGTTTCTTCACTGATCAGCTGCTTTCTGCTGGGGTCTGATTTTCTGAGACATCCTGCTTGTTTTTCTGAGTAAATATCAGTCACAGAGTGCCAAAAAGGGAGGTTCATCTGTTCTTTAAGCCATTTCTGAGTTTTTTGGTCAGGATGTTCTGGGTTGTTATTCTGATGAAAGACCTACTCTATGGAACAACCTCAGGCGCTCAACATCACAGAACCTCCATCATACTTAGAGTTGTAGGGAAGCGGCTGTTCCAATGGGTAAAGTTCCGAATTCTCCCAAATTGTGCCCAATTTTACACGAGTGATTAAAGTGAATGTGATTGGTCGATTATTAAGGAGGCGGGATTGTTGTGACAGAAGGTTCGCAAGCATGTTTGATTGTAGCTGGTGTCTCTGAAGCATCGTGCTAACCAGTTAGCAACTTAATGCTAGTAGGTTCCCAATGGGAAAATACATTGGAACCAAGTAGCACTTCGCAACGCCACTCTCAAGGAAAGCTATGGACAGTGGAATAATGCAAGAGGAGGTTTTGTGTCGGAGGTCGTGGATGAGTCTCCTCCATTATACATTTTTTAATTTAGAGGAAGAAAGTGGGGATGAAGTTTTTGTGGAAGAGGACGCCAGGGCGACAGAAGCTTGGTTTGGTGTAGAAGGCTTATAGTACAGCCGTACATGTTTGAGTCCTTGCCTTGCAACACTGCTAGTTCTGTTAGCTCTACGCCTGCTGAAGACACAGACATCCATCCCCGTGAACACTTGGATGTAACTCAATGGTAAAGTAAATGATTCTCATATCTTATTTCAACCATTGCGTATATTAGCTGCGACATATGAATCAAGATGCTATGACCGAAAAAATTTGATTGACAGATGACCGTTGATACTTGATTGGCCGAATTTAGGTGTTCAAGCTGACGTATAACTAACTGGCCTACATAAGATAACGAAAAAACAAACAGATTGTATGACTTCCCTACGACTTTTAACAGTAAACCCTAGTCCAATCAGACTAAAGCTCAATTTACAGTTAAAGTCCCAGAAACTCCCTATGACTATGTTATTCATGATGAGCCAAAGTTTTTTTTGTTTGTTGTTGTTGGCATGTAGACTGCCTGTTATTGGTTTGTTTTGTATGGCAAGATGCTGCTTTCTGCTGTAGGTCTGTCAGTGAGCTTTTATAAGCGATCACTGGATAAACCTGACAGAAAATTGCTAAGAGAAATAATTTAATTTTTTCTTCATTCTTTTGGTATACTCCACCCATTTCTTTTTCTTGTTGATATTCTATTTTATGGGGTATAGATGCTCTGGTGGCTCCGGTGGTAAAGCTTAACACACCAGCCATTAAGGAATCCTTCTGAACTCTGTCCTGCCTTTAAAGGTTGCATCTTCTGTCTGTTTGGCAGGAGCTAATGTCTTCACCTCCATATGAGTGAGTGCACATGACTCATCACAAATCTGCATCAGTGACAGAGTATAAAGAGAGCTGGTGGGGCGCCCACTTTGGATATTGATGAGGGAAATGCTGAACTTAGATAACCTGAACAGCTCTCAAATTAATATATATTCATGTTGCTGACTCGAGCGCCTCCAGTAGACCGGTTTCTTAGGTAAACCTGCAACTAAGGAGGTAAATGTGTTCAGAAACCAAATTTCTGCAGCTAAAACAGCCTAACTACAGCATCATTTGGATTACTAACATGATGTCAGGCTGTTAGGTGTATTAGGGCAGGCAAGAACCAGCATTTTATTCCTCAGCAATGAAGACTGCCTTCCAAGTACCTGCGTCAAACTTTTTTAAGCCTTAGAAAGTCAGAACGAGCATGTATTTTAATTTTGTCTTTGGTACTGTTCCAATGAAAAAAAGAGTTGTTTTCTTCAAAACCCCTGAAGAATACATTTGCCTTCAGTTCAAAGTTGCCTCTCCACATGTTGGCGCTGCTTATTTTCTGACGTCACCATGGAGGCGCTTGGTATCACAACACCCCTACAAATTTGGCTCTTCGCTAGTAATCCTGAATAGTCTGAGAAAAGACCTAAGATAGAAGAAGACTTGTTTCATCTCAACTTGTAGCAGAAATAATTGGTACTCTGCCGCACATCACCACTCGCTGACCAGAGGGAGAGTAGGTGCATTGATTACTGGGCAGGCACAGCATGGTTAAGGTAGGTGCTTCCCGTAAGGGACGGGTTAACAGTTTTCTACATAGGAATGTTGCCGTTCCTTTTTTTTTCAGATCTAGAGGAGCGAATTACCACTTTGACTTAGACTTACTTACTTAGACAGATTTAATTGTCATTTTGTTTACACAAGTGTAAAACAAAAAGAAATTTTGTTTAGAACAGCTCTTTGGACAATTTCATTTTTTTTGGGCATGAATATGACAAAGGAATAGTGTTATATCATAGCTGAAGGCTAAAAAGAAAAAAAGTAGATTTTTCATGATTTAGGCCCTTAGTGATGGCAGCTGAACAAAACCTTTTTCCATCTCTGATGCTGAAGCTTATGGTCCTTGCTGTGACCGATGACCCTCCCAGCCTTGCTAAAGTTACCTGTCATTGCGGTGGAACAGACAGAAATCTGTCCCTAACTCATTACTTCACTTCAAGATGTGTTCTGCGGCCCGTCCGTCTGCTTAGACTGTACACATCGATAAAATGTTTAAAAAAACATAGCTCCTGAACTGCCGGCGATGCTCTTCTCTGTGTGAGCTTGGTTGCAGAGAAGCTTGAGAAGCTGAAATCTTGTTTCTCCTTTTATCTGTCAACCGGCTGAGGAAGGTTGACAACAGTGGCTCATTCCCTGGATGACTGTTTCACTGTGTCTGTCACATTAACAAGGTGTTACACCTCAGCTTTGGCAGCACCGCCATTCCCCAGAGTGAAGCACACAAATACCCCCCCTCCCAGGTCCGACCTCATAACCCTTGGACTGTCACAGTGTTTCTTACATGTGCAAACATTTAGTTTAGGGGGCAGAAATATGACGTTTGTTGGATTGCATGCATGTACACACGGCTATGGTTAAAGATAAAGACCAACAGGCAGAAAAAGCTATGGACGGCCATCAAAATGCTTAACAGAACTTCCTGACAAACACATCGTGCATACACAGCACAGTTATCTACTGTCTATACAAGAGGTACAGATGGAGAGAGGAAGTCTTGAGGGACAGGAGGCACATCTTCACTTGGTCAGAATGGCAACCAGGCTCAGCTCAGCTCAACTTATGCATAATAGATGCAAATTCTCAACCCAGGACTCAGCGCTCAGAGCTGAACATGCCTTTTTTCTCCTGACAGGATGGAAGCACAGCAACGGCAAATGAGGGAGATTGTTACAATTCCTGGCTTTGTGTGGTTTCTCGCACAAACGCCATTCTCTCTTTTAAGGAACCGTACACCCTTTGTTTAATGTTAAAGGATTCTGCTCAAACATTTCCATTAAATATTATTTTTTTAAGATTATATGTGATTGAAACAGAAATGTTATGCGGTTATCATTTG